TTTTTTTTTTTTTCCTATCACTGAAGAGAGTTACTGATAAACACTGATTGAACAGCTTTAAAGTTAGTTCAATAAAAGTTACAAAAAATGGAAGGATATATAGTAAAGTTGCGAAGTAAAGCAGCAATTGAACTCTTTCGTATATCCATTCACACGTTTGTTGATACTGTTTAAAATTGCAACTATAACTTTTCCACTCTTCCACTTTTTTTTTTGTTTTTGAAACTGTAAAAACAGTCGATAATTGGAAAAAAAAAAACATTGAAGATTTAATAAAAAAAAAAGATCTTTTTACAGTTGACTAAGATGGCATTTTGTTTTCTTGAAAAAACTATTAGTTGATAATACTTATTTTAAACGACATTTAACTGTTTTTGCTTTTTTTTGTCTTATTAACATTTTTTATTACCGTAATGACGTTTTTTTGTTTCAAAAGTTTTATAATTTTTCTACAGTTATTGCGGTTTGTTGATCACAGTTGATGGGCAATTGTTGTTACGATGAAAGGAAGTTTTTTTTTTCAGAAAAAATTTATAAATATTTACTTGCAATTCACTCATTTTAATGATTCTTTTCTTCTCTATACAATAACAATTAATTATAACCAACAGAAAAATAAACATCAATAATGGTAAACTGTTAAAGAAAGGCAGGAAAACGAAAATTACTTTTACCACTTTTGAAAGTATACAACAATAAATCTACAGTTTTTTGTTGTTGTTGTTGTTGTAGTTTTCTTCTTTGTATCAGAATCTTAACTTTGGAAATGAGCAGAAATGGGGAAGCGGAAGGAAAAAGCTAAATGAGAAGTGGGAAAGGAAAAGCTGTTGTATGGGGTTTAGTTGCTGAGTACCTAAACTGGCAACAGGTTTTTGATGCATCAATGAGCTTCACCAGTGATGTCAATGTTGATGTCGATGGTGACGATGATGATGACGACGATAGTAGGTAGTGATGATGGCGAGGTCATCGACGAGATTTCAAACAAAACTATTATGCATATTGTACATATTTATTTGTTGAAATTGTTATAGGTGTATACTTTTGCTTTGGACGGATATACAGATCTATGTAACCAGAGGAAGACAGAGAAACAAGATGACAGAAGCAAAGTCAGCTAGCTGCTTGTTATTTGATGCTTGTTGCTCAAGAACTATTCAGAATCTAGTCA